AGAAATTTTGGCGTAAATATTAATTTCGATGCAAATCTAATCAATAGTTCATTCAAATGAGAGTTTATGAAAATAATCTGAATGTAAACCAAATGATTACTAAATAATATAGTATTGGATTAGTTTATATGAAAATGTCCTTCAATTCCGATATTCCTGTGACTTTTCTTTTCATATTTATTGTTATTTTTTAACCATTTATTTAAAACTCTTTGTTATTAAAACGCTTTTCATTTTACATGGTTTAGCAGTTGATGTCCTTATATTTCAATGACATTTAAAACACACTTTTTTGTGTTATAAATAATAGCAAACAGTTGTTGACTCCAAACCCATAATGCGATTACATCTAATGCATTGAACCGTACTTTTAGTGTTTTATTAAATAAATTATTTAGATTTTATTCTAAAAGTACTTTATATTTATTTTAAGTTTTTAAGGGATTTATCTCTATATTCCGATTGTATTTATTATCAATTCATACCCATTAACCCGATATTTGTGATAATTTTTTTGTACTCAATAATTCTCAACTGTATGGACACAAGCGATTATTTTATTAAATAATTTTTTGTTAGATTAAGGCTTAATCATTATGCTATTACTGTATTATCTCAAACGTACCATTAGTAGCGATAAAATATATGTTTTATAATTAATTATTTATATTCAATATAAAGGCATTAATTATATAAGTTTTATTATTAGTTCATTTGTTTGAAATAACTTTTCCACTACTACTAAAATAATTTTATGCTCAATTAAACACAGAATATTGATTGTTATTAATAAATTTGAGGGTATTTATCATACAGTCTATTAAAATAAGCGATAATTGAACTTCTATTTGGTACTAAAAACTTAATACAAAATATTTAAATTGAATGAATGAATGAAGACATAAGTAATTGATGTTTGATTGCAATTTCTCGCGGCCGTTACTCAACCACGCGGCTGTGAGCAGCTCAGTTAAGTTTAAACTACGGAACTTACACTAATAGCTGCTGAGCCTCTCATGACAGAAGTTCTTTTTATGCCAGGCTCTCGACGACAACGACGGCTACGAAGAGATACTCCTTAAGGCGGCTAAAGAGATGTTTCCGGAGACCCCTTACACTCGATTCGGTTTCTTCTACTCAAGAAATAATACCTCAACCGATGGCACGTATAGGATGTTTACGGGCGAGAAGGGTATCAATAGATTAGGACTTTTGGACACTTGGAATAACCAGAAGACTAATAATAAGTGGTTCGGAAAGAGATGTCAACGATTCGACGGCATCTCTGCCGGCGATTTTCAGCCTCCATACAGACACCCGAAGCCAAAAAGTATTGACATATTTATGGGTGACTTTTGTAGACCCTTTACACTGGAGTTCGCCAAAGAGGTGGACTGTCAAGGCATCAAATGCAGCCGTTATTGGGCCAGTCCTACGCTCTTTGATTATAATTTGCCGGACAATCAGTGTTACTGTCAGTCAAATAGGTTTGCGATTGAAATGAATTGATTGAATGGTTTTTAATGCAATTTTGTTTCACTCACTCCCAGTTGTCCTGCAAATGGTGTGATGAATGTGTCCGTCTGTACGATGGGATCGCCGACCGCCGTATCGTTTCCTCATTTTTTATACGCCGATAATATTTATTTAGATTCAGTCAACGGCTTGAGTCCCGATCCCAACAAACATAGCTTTTATATGGATTTTGATGATGTAATTCATTTGATTCTTGAAATGATAATTGAGTTATAAAATTGATTTTGCAATTCAATACAGACTTTGGGGGTACCACTGAATGTCGCGGTCAGACTTCAAGTGAATATTGTGGTCGAAAAGAACCAGAATTTAGACTTTTCTCGAAATTTTACACAAAAACCGTTATATTTTCCACAGTTTTGGTTCAGTACTGTAAGTCTGAAGATTTGTACACTATTTGTTGGGAATTGAAAATTAAATATTTAATTGTGTTTATGATTCACATAAAGACGGCTAAAGTGGGCGAAGATATGGTCCAACAGTTGAACTTTTTGGTCAATTTAGTGCCGTTTTATATAAATATCATTTCATTTCTATTTTTATTAATTGGTTTTCTGACACTCGTTTCGGCCGCTGTTTACGCCTTCAGAAGCAAAAGGGTATGCATTGTATTGCTTATCATTATAACTACTTTTACCAACAATTATAACCAAGTTTTTCTTGAGTTTATAAATGATTTTCTATTTTACAGAGCATTCACTTAAATAATCGTCAAAAGTATAAAGCCGTCGAAATGAACACACATTTTGCCAATTAATCAATTCTTGTAATTAGAATATTATCTCAAAATAACTACAATATTATAATAAGAATCTGATTGTGAACTCAAGAATATTTTTTATATACATATCACACAACTAATGCAATTCATATTCATTATATAATTACTTTTTTAATATAATATATAATATTTGCTATTATTGTCTCAATATTTTACACACAAAAACCTCCAAATATTTGATTTGTTTTTTGCTCAAAGTTTATGTCAATACTATTTATTGACGAAAAAGTGCCAAAATATGAAAATGCGATCAAATTATGACTAAATATCTGATTAATTCTTATAATTTAGATAATTATTGTTATATAATATATACTGTAATCTAAGAATTATATAAATATTTTATAAAATTATTTATCTTTATATATTGTATTAAAAATAACTACAACTAAATCACGAGTTTTTTTGTAAATTAATATTTCACTTAAATATCAAATAAAATATATGAATAAATACATGTACAGTTACCACGGTACTATGTTTTTAAAAATTATTCTCGCGTTCATGAACAATAATTTTTAAAAATTCACACATATAATGGTAATTTAAAATTTGATATCCTGTTAATTTTAACATTATTTTTTATTAGTTTCTGGATTTTGATTTAGATTTAGAAATTGCTATAAATATTTGTATAACAACTTAAGACATCAATCGGTTAAATATAGACACCAATTGATTCAATGGATACAAACAATTTGAATGCATTTATTTTAACATTTATAGGTATATAATGATTATAACTAGTTTAAATTAGTTCTTATATAACAGAATATTTGTAATAATAATAATGTAGTGGTTATTATCCGCAAAATGAGCGCCAATTTCTCAAATTATGACAAATGCGGTGCAATTAACTTAAACCATGGGTTGAGAGACCAGTCGAGAGTAGGGGGCGAACAGACAGCCGATGACAATGAGTTTCCATTCATGGTATCACTTGAGGCCAAAGATAAACACTTTTGCGGCGGAACTGTTCTCAACAAAAGGTGGATCTTAACGGCTGCCCATTGCATACGATTAACACAATTGATTCAAAAGATTAGTGAACCCAAGGATATAAAGCTAGTGATGGGAACCGTTCACTTGGATTTAAACAGTAGTGGTCTTAATGAGACATATGTGGCCGAGAAGTGGATAATAAACGGATGTTTTTTGAGCCAATTGGGTGATGTCCTCGACGGCGATATCGCACTGATTCGGGCCGACAAAGACATCCCAATCGATGGTCAAAAAGTGACCGCAATTTGTTTGCCGCCCAAAGATGCGGAACCGGCGGCTGAGGAGGCAATGATGACCGGGTGGGGGGTTTGGGGACCCAGTGGTACAGAACCGTCAAAGATATTACATAAAGCGAACACAACTATAGTTTCCGAAGAGTTTTGCCAAATGTATGAATACTTCCGAAACGTCGGACTCCTGGGAAGACTTCCGGGGAAAAGGATTTGCGTTATGAGTGAGGAATCGACCGCTTGTTTCGTATGATTTTCCGGTATTTTTGTAATCATTTTTAACTCTTATGATTGCTTTGATTGAAAGGGCGATTCCGGTGGACCTCTAATACAAGTGGTGAATGGAAAGGCGTATGAAATAGGAATCGCGTCTTATATCTCGGGGTGTCGGGAGAGGAAGTAATTGGCGACGGGATTTCCATTAGGACAGATGATAAAGTTCTGTAGGTTTGTATAGCTAACCTAGTGACTACGGTAGTTATTTATGCTGCTGTTGTGGTGACTATTAGTTATGATAACTTCTTGTGATCACTATTAGTGCCATAAATACAACAACTATTAGGACAAACAGATTATAACTTATAATTATAACTTATAACTTGTATATATGATTACAGAATATACACCAAATAATTATTCATTATTAATGATATAATGATTATTAATTAAGATAAATAAATAAATTAGTAAATCATTTTAGATAATTTATAAAACTAAAAGTGTATTATATTACTACAGTATAATAACTATGATAGTTACTAGATCATTTCAAACTTTGAGTGTTATTCAAACAAAACTGGTGTAACACTAGACGGCGTTCATTGGGTTTACATTAAATTCACGTGCAATGCATTGACTGTCACTCTGAGCGCCAAAAGCACACAAAACACCAAACATTTGCCATTTAATCGTCTTTTTGTGTCACTAATTGTCACCTAATTATGGGAACCGCTGATGCCATGGATTGCACTGCCGCTGATAATCCTAACATTCACTGGTGAGTGACATAACAGTTGATGACTGAATGAGTTGTTTGTATGAATGAAATGACAATTTGTGTGTATCTTAAAGGGTGGAGAAGTATCGCCCGAAACAATTGGATCAATTGATTTCACACCACAATATCATCAGCACATGTGAGCATTAGGATTGTGTGCACACATTGATTTCGTGACTCATTGAATGGCATGTCTGACCACTTAGTGAGCAAATTTATGGCAGAGAAGCGGTTACCACATCTGCTTCTGTACGGCCCGCCCGGCACTGGAAAGACGTCGACAATCCTGTCGTGCGCTCGACAGCTGTATTCACCACAACAGATGTCATCAATGGTTCTCGAGGTTTGTGTCCAACAGTTGTGGCGAGTCGAGCACCGGCCGTTTCACGGCTCCGGCCTTCAATGAGTTGTAATGTATTGATGTTTGTCTTAATGTGGGATCAGTTGAACGCGTCGGACGAGAGGGGCATAGATGTGGTGAGGGGTCCGATACTGAACTTCGCCTCCACTAAAGCCGTATTCAAGTCTGGCTTCAAACTAATCATTTTGGATGAATGCGATGCCATGACGAACGACGCCCAGAACGCCCTCCGCAGAAGTATGCATACCATACCATTGCCATCCCTGTCCACCCAATTCATTGTTAATAACTCTTTATTCCCGAAGTAATGGAGAAGTTTTCCACGAACACCAGGTTTTGTCTCATTTGTAACTATCTCTCGAAGATAATACCGGCCCTACAGTCCCGGTGCACGC